CCCCCCGGCGGTGCTATCCACGCAGGATGGGACAAGGGGCCGTGGAAATGGGGATGGGGAAGGAATTGGGGGTCCCGGTGGGGTTTGGCGTAGGGATGGGGGTTGGAGGAGTTGGTGCAAAGGAGGATGGGGGTGGGGAGGTTGAATTTCGATTTGCAAGGGAAGGAAGGACTGGCAACCCCGGCCGGGGTCGTGTGGACGTGCGGCAGCGGGCTTGCTTGAAGACACGGAGGTCTTCTGGATGGCCTCAACCGGGGTTGGGTGGATGGGGGGGAAACATCAAGGCCACGAGGTTTCTGGGCTTGGGTGGCTGAAAGAGGCTGGAGAAGGGGCGAGGTTGCCACGTTCTGCGGTTTGTGGCTTGGCCCGTGCAGGCTGGGGTCGTGTGAACTCTGCCAACGGGTTAATGAAGGAGGTTGCGGGAACCAGTTGCTCAGGGCTGCCTTGTCTGGCTGCTCTGCCAAGTAATTTCCTTTGCATTCTCTGGGAAACGGCTCTGAATCACTCACTGGCGGCCCATTTGGCTGGCCGGCACATCCTGCCCAGCAGCCTTTGTGTTAAGTGAGCGTTGTCTCACTTTGCAGAGGATACAATCAGGTTTCTAAAATCCAGGGGTTGGATTAGCTCCCAAACCAGGTTTAGCTTGACGGGTGAGTCACTCGGAAATAAATTTCCCCTTAAATCCAGTTTTCTACCCATCGGTTTGGAGGGGGATAAACCAAATCACTCTTTGCTTTGTCAAACGCTATTCCCCCACACCATGGAAAACAAATTTTAAAATCCAAACTGATTCAATTGGAGGCTTCAGTTTTCCTTTTCCCTCCCGGAGTGTTTTCCTTCAGTGTCGTGCCTTCGTCAAACAGCAGCCCCAAGAGCAAGAGACTTCTTTGGACTGGTTTATAATTTGTAAACTGGAAGTTTTTAAGAAGAGACTAGACAGCCATTTGTCCGAAATGGTATAGGCCCTGAGCGGGGGGTTGGACTAGATGACCTCCAAGGTCCCTTCCAACTTTATTGTTGTTATTATTATTATTATTAAATTTGATTGTGAAAGGTAAATAAAATCTCAGAGGTATTGGTTATAATTCTTTTATATACCAGAATAAATCGGGCTTGCTCTCCTGGCTTGAAATGAAGGACAGTGTGACTGATGCCTAACCTGGTTAGCCCAACTGTGATTTACCTTGTTAAACTACAGGTAGTCCTCAATTTACAGCAGTTCATTTAGTGACCATTCAAAGCTACAACAGCACTGAAAAAAGTGACCTAGGTCCGTCTTTCACACGACCCTTGCAGCATCCCCATGGACAGGAGATCAGAATTCAGATGCTTTGCAACTGACTCGTATTTATGACGGTCGCAGTGTCCCAGGGTTGTGTGATCCCTTTTTGCGACCTTCCAACAAGCAAAGTCAACGAGGAAGCAAAATTCATTTAATAACCGTGTTACTAGCTTAATAAATGTAGTGATTCACTTAAGAACTGTAGAAAGAGAATAAGAATAAAATAGAATTAGAATAGAATTAGAATAGTATAGAATAGAATAGAATAGAATAGAATAGAATAGAATAGAATAGAATAGAATAGAACATATGGAATAGAATAGAATAGAACATATGGAATAGAATTAGAATAGAATAGGATAGGACAGGACAGGACAGGACAGAAAAACAGAACAGAATAGACATTGGAATATAGAATAGCATAGAATTAGAATAGAATAGAATAATGAAAGAATAGGACAGAACAGAACAACAGAACAGAATAGATATTGGAATATAGAATAGAATAGAATAGAATAGAATTGGAAGGGACCTTGGAGGTCTTCTAGTCCAGCCCCCTGCTCAAGCAGGAGAATCATTCTAGCTTCTTCTTAAAGGTCGTAAAATGGGGCAAAACGTACTTCACAAATGACTTGTTTAGCAACAGTAATGTTGGGGTCAGTTGTGGTTATGAATTGAAGACTATCTGTAATTTTCTGCAGCGTTTTGAAGCCTAAACTTTGCGCCGGGCTCCTTTGGGGTTCTGTCCGTGAACCTCCAAAACTTGGCTTAGCCCGGCCTTGCTGCTAACCCTCTTTGCAAATTTCCCATTGATTTATTTTTTTTTCCCCGCTAGGGGAAAAGACAGATAAGCAAGATGGACAGGCGAAGACACCTTTAATTTGTTTTTTCTCCGGGGTTACCATCGTTCAAGAGGATGTGAGCCGGGCCAGAAATCTTAAAGGGGAGGGAGAAAAAAATCTTGAGTTTTTGACATGCCTGGGTGCTGTGCCAAGTAGAACTCGGTGCCTACCTTGTTGCTTGGCACAAAGGAGGGTTTTGTCAGTGCTGGCATTAAAAGGAAAGCAGAAAGGGATTCCTGCACGGAGAGAGTCTGCAGGCAGAGACTCTGTGTGTGTGTGTGTGTTGTGTGTTCGAAACTCAGAGCCCCCCCAAATTTGCTGCAAAAGGGAGAATCCAGCACACAGCTCTATCAGTGGTAACGCTTGGACTATTTAACATGCCCCATCCACCCCATCAATTAACAACAATTAACAACACACAACCAGGCTCTCCATAAATACAGGTAGTCCTCAACTTACAACAGTTCATTTAGTGACGGTTCGATGTTACAACGGTCCTGAAAATGGCCGTTTTTCCACACTTAACGACTGTTGCAAGAATTCCAAGGTCAGGCAATCAAAATTGAGACCCTTGGCAACTGCCTCATATTTTTTATGGTGGTTGCACCGTCGTCGTGCCAGGGTACACTGACTGAGGAGGATGGTTGTTGTAATCCTTATCTGGCTGATAACATAGTTCAGTTCAACGCTCCTCCTGCTTTCAAAGTTCAATCTGTTTATTTCGGCCTTTCTCCAAGCTGGGGTCCACCCAGCATATTGAGTGGCATCTCCCATGATTCTGCAATGGCCGCTAGGTATGAGTGGTATGGTAGGTTAGAGAAATCCCTATTTGGAAGGAAGGTGCTTATTCCATGGATTACAAATTCAATACTTGGTTATAATGTGAGTGGGCAGGCCCCAGATGAGCCCCATGCCAAGAGATGGCAGAATAACTGATGAATAAATGAGATTTTATTTGAAAGTACAAAGGGATCAATGTTCTTCAATGCTCAAAAGAATGAATTAATCATGCTTCTGGTCCTCATCTTCAGCACTACTTCCAGCCCCAAAGCCCAAAGGGATCAATTTTTAAAGAACACACAAAACTGATTAATCATGTTACTAGTGCTTAGCTATTTTCCAGTCCCATTTTAGGTCTCAAAATGTGCGTGTATATATATATTTATTTTATGTTGTTCATTCCAGAAGGCTCAACCACCCTAGGGAAGCCTCCTCTGAAATGCAACGGACCACAACTCCCATAAGCCTTAACCACCCTAGGGAAGCCTCCTCTGAAATGCATCGGACCACAATTCCCACAAGCCCCATCATAGGCTTATGACCCATATATGAAGTCTCTCTATATACATAGTTCATATGTGGGTCATAAGCCTATGATGGAACTTCTGGGAATTGTAATCCAATGCATTTCAGAGGATGCTTACACACACACACACATGCACACACACACAGTGTTTTCCGGTGAAACCGGTCTAATAGAGCACCTGGTCTACTGTTATGATTGCTTTGCTAAAATAGCTATAATAGTAAGGTGACCAACTTTTTTACAATGAGAAGGAGGACACAAATAAATTGAAGAAAAAAAATATCGTAAATAAAACATTTTATTCATTGCAACAATACAGAATACACTATAATATGATAAATGCATAATAAAAAAACATTTGTAACAATAACATTTTATATTGTAATTATGCTTACATGCCTATTAATTATTATTTAAATGAGTAGAAAAGGACTGTCCTCCCTAAAGGAGGACGATTGATCACCTTAATTAATAGTCTCCCTTTAACTCTTTGGCAGCAAAATCTAAATTTACATACACGCACACACACACACACATATACAGGCACATATACATATACACACACATTTTGAGAACTAAAATGGGACTGGAAAATAACTAAGGACTAGTAACATGATTAATTTTTGACTGGAAAATAACTAAGGACTAGTAACATGATTAATAATTTTTGACTGGAAAATAACTAAGGACTAGTAACATGATTAATCAGTTTTGACTGGAAAATAACTAAGGACTAGTAACATGATTAATCAGGCTGGCGAGTTGACGAAGGCCTCTAAGGAGGCGCTTGCCAGTCGTAAAGATGGAAACCGAGAATACAGCGCGGGGGGAGGGGGGAAGAGAAAGATAATGTTGCGCATGCGCAAATTCTATCCGGGCGAGCGGCGACCCGGAAGAAATTCTGCCCGGCGAGGTCACGTGAAAGGCTCCATCTAAACAGCTGCAAATGGGCGCTGGTGGGTTTTTTTTGCAGCTGGGAGGAGGAGAAATGGATGGATATCGAGGGGGCCGTTTGGGGCTTGGCTGGCCGGGCTTTTTATGCGGAGATAGGCCGCTGAACGAGCCGGGAAGAGACGGGGAGGCTCCATCCAACGAGGGGGGGCGTGGGTGCCTCTGAGCATGTACAGAGTGCCACGCCTCTTCCCTTTCTCGGGGGAGCAGAACGGCTGGCAGAGGCTGTAAAGCGAGGAGGGGGAATAATAAAAGCACAAGAGGTGCAATTCAAGAAAAGGCGAAAAAAAAAGCTGTTGTGAATATGAATCAGATTTTTATCTCCTATAAAATAACATTAAAAAAAAACCCTGCACCTTTCCTAGAGTGCATTTTTTCATATGATTTAATCCCCAGTCTCCTTTTTTGGAGAAAATATTCTTTTTTTTTTTAAAGGGGTCTTCCCTGTAAATGTGCAATAATTGAGCGGGCTTTAACCCTTATCTTCTGTCAACTTGCACTATTTTTAAATGTATATCTTAAGTATTCATTTAATGTTTCATACCACATATATGCTTGCTTTGGGATGTTTTTAAACATCCTCCCCTTTTCCTAGCGCTTTCTGCGGTGATGAGAGTAGTTTTATTTTAAAAAAAATTCTATCCTTTGATTCAATATTTTGGGGCAGTTGGCCACCTGAATTCCCCCAAAGATTTTAAAACACAAAAGTCACAACCGGGCTGTAAAGGCCCCAAATGTTGGAAAACTTCTGGGTTGGAGCTTGCTGGCTACGAGAGTCTCAGAAGTGGAAAAGACCTTGTGGACTAGAACCTTGACTTCTCTGCTTTCCTTGCAGGCTGTGGGGTGCAGCCTGATGCTGGCAAGGGATTCTGTGTCAGAAGAAAGTGACTCCATTAATCATGACCAGCAATCTGGACATTTTTGTGGGGAACACGACCTTGATCGATGAGGAGGTCTATCAACTGTGGCTAGATGGATATTCTGGTAAGTCTTGGTCCCTCATGTCTTATGAGAGTGACAATATAAAACAGTGTTTCTCAATCCTGGTAACCTCAAAATGGGTGGATTTCAACTCCCAGAATTCCTCAACTGGCTGGAGAATTCTGGGGTTGAAGTCCACCCATTTTAAAGCATGCTGGCTGGGGAATTCTGGGAGTGGAAGTCCAGCCATTTTAAAACATGCTGGCTGGGGAATTCTGGGAGTGGAAGTCCACCCATCTTCAAGCCTGCTGGCTGAGGAATTCTGGGAGTTGAAGTCCACCCCTCTTAAAGCATGCTGGCTAGGGAATTCTGGGAGTTGAAATCACCCATTTTAAAGCATGCTGGCTGGGGAATTCTGGGGGTTGAAGTCCACACACCACATTTGAGAAACTCTGGAGTAGATGGTCTCTAAAGTCCCAGTCCTGGCAACCTGGGAGGACATTAACTGGATGCATGCATGTGTTTAACTGTGGGTCTGTGCATGCTTTTTCTTAGCTTTGATTGGTTACAGTAGCCTTAAAGCCAGGCAGTCCACAAATATTTGCAGTCTGCAAATCTTCCCCTGGTGTGAAACTCACTTCTTGAGACAAATTTTCCCCTCTTGGCTTTTTCCCCAGTGGACGATGCCGTCTCTCTCCGCCTGCGCTCTGGCATCCTGGAGCAGACCGGAGCCACGGTTGACGTCCTCCAGAGTGACACCATGGACCATTACCGCACTTTCTACATGCTGGAGCGTCTCCTCCATTCGCCCCCCAAGTTGCTGAACCAGCTGCTTTTCCAGATCCCGCCTTGCCGACAGACCATGCTGATTGAGAGGTGGGCCAGCCAACGGGAGAATTGAGAAAATGGCATCTGGGTTGGGTTTGTGCAACACAGTCGCTTAGGACAGGGGTCTTCAAACTGGGCCCTTTGATGACTTGGGGACTTCAACTCCCAGAATTCTTCAGCCAGGCACGCATGCTTGGCTGAGGAATTCTGGGAGTTGAAGTCCACAAGTCATAAAAGGGCCACGTTTGAAGACCCCTGACTTAGGAGGATTGTGGCAGCTCAATTGTTTAGAAAAGTATTGTATGCGAATCCAGTCCAGGGAGTCATTTGAAGTTTTCAAGAAAGGACAGCCATTTGTCTGGAATACTATAAAGTCTCCTACTTGAACAGGGGGTTGGACTAGAAGACCTCTAAGGTCGCTTACAATCTTACGGTTCGATGTCCTGTGAAGTTCATAGGCAGGTTTTCTTGTTCTGGAGCCACAGACACGTCTCTGAATTAATCTGACTTTGGAATCAAGTGTATTACGGACTCCAGGCCATATAGTACATACAGTATCTCAGGTTTGAGAAAATCACTATTTACGTGATAATGTCAGGGATCTGAAGGATAAATTGTACAATGAATGCCTAAGGGAACTGGATACGTTTAGCCTAATGATGAGAAGGACTAGGGGAGACATGATAGCAGTCTTCCAATATTTGAGGTGCTGCCACAAAGAACAGGGGGTCCACTTATTCTCCAAAGCGCCTGAAGGCAGGACAAGAAACAACGGATGGAAACTAATCAAGGAGAGAAGCAACCTGGAACTAAGGAGAAACTTCCTGATAGTTAGAACAATTAACCAGTGGAACAACCTGCCTCCAGAAGCTGTGAATGCTCCAACACTGGAAGTTTTTAAGAAGAGACTGGACAGCCATTTGTCTGAAATGGTATAGGGTTTCCTGCCTGAGTAGGGGGTTGGACTAGAAGACCTCCAAGGTCCCTCCCAACCTTAGGAGTCTACTTCTTTGTTTATTTGGACAGAAGCAATTCGATAAATGACGGTAATTATTTGTTCCTGCTCTTATTCGTCTAATTTCCAGGTACTACGCCTTCAATGACGCCTTTGTCCGTGAGGTCCTGGGTAAAAAACTATCAAAAGGAACCAAGAAAGATCTGGATGATATCAGTGCCAAAACTGGGGTGACCCTGAATAGCTGCCGCCGACAGGTAAGTTTGGACCTGAATTCCCAGGGCCAGCTTTTTGGGGGAATGAAAGGAAAATATGTTCTCCAGATACTTCATGATGGAGAATATTTGCTTGTTTGTGTCCTGCCTTTATGTTTACAAATAACAAGGCAGCGAACATATATGTAATAGGCCTTTCTCCTCCTATTTTCCCAAAATAATCTGCTGAGGTGCATTGGCCTGAGAGAAAGTGACTGGCCCAAAGTCACCCAGCTGAATTTCATGTCTAAGCTGGGACTAGTTCTAGTCCCGCCTTAGGCATGAAAGTTGATTGGGTGACTTTGTGCCAATCACCAGGAGACGGGGAGTTCTAGTCCTGCTTTAGGCATGAAAGCTGATTGGGTGATTTTGAGCCAGTCATTCTCTCTGAGCCCAGCCCACCTCACAGGGTTGTCGTTGTGAGGAAAATTGTGAGTTCTCAAAATAATAAAGGCGGGATACAAATAAGTGTAAAAATAAAATTGGTCAGACAAGGCGCAGCCCCAGTCCTGATTTTTTTTTTGCAACTGCAGACAAACATGGTTGGCCTCCCGCGTTCATGTCCGGTGTTGTTGTTGTTTTTTTCCTTCTGTTTCAGTTTGACAATTTCAAGCGTGTTTTCAAGGCCGTGGAGGAACTGCGCGGATCTTTAGTTGAAAATATTCAACAGCACTTCTTGCTTTCCGATCGCTTAGCCGGGTACGAAAAGAAGCATGTGTGATGTTTGTGCTTAAGATAGAGTTTTGAGGAGTCCTACTTTGGACGGGGTGGGACTAGAAGATCTCCAAGGTCCCTTCCAGTCCTGTGATTCTATGAATCCCAGATTCTGGGCACCCAATCCATCATAGAATTCAAGGAGAGATTTTTGGACTAGTCTCTGTCTCTCTCATGTCTTTCTTTCCTTCCTTCCTTCCTTCCTTCCTTCCTTCCTTCCTTCCTTCCTTCCTTCCTCCCTCCCTCCCTCCC